TAGGTCATGGGAAAGGACTGATAGGTTTTCAAACAGTCATGGTTTGACAGAACTTTTATAAGGGTCACTGATTGCTGTACTGGAAACAGACTGAGGAGGAAGAGGGCAATGTTGAGAGTAAAGAGACAAATTAGGGAGGTAATAAAATAAGCAAAGGATTAATGTAGCTTCTCAGCAGAGTGACAGCAATAGAAGTAGTATGAAATGTTCCAGTCCTTACTACATATGTCTTTTAATTTTTATCTATTTGAGATTAAGTCTTCATTTAATGAGTCTTTGGTGTCTGGCAGCGATGTGAAAAATATGAGAAGTGAAGAATGGCTAAAAGAGTTTTAACATTAGCAACTAGAAGGATGGACTTGCCACCAACTGAAATAGAGAAAACTGGGATTCTACAAGAAGTTGGTGGAAATAACCAACATTCAGTTTCAATCACATTACGGTTCAGACATGCTAATTTTATGGATATGTAAGTTTGGAAAAACAGGACATAGGACTGTGTTGAAACCTAAATTTGAAAGCCACCAGCAAAGAATCATGAAACTAGAAGAAGTTACCAAGTCAGAATAAGATTGGCTCAGAACTAAGCTTTGGACACATTAATGTAAAAAGTTCAAAAATTAAGAAGTCAATCAAAAAACAGACCCCTAAGAAACTAAAAAGCAAGATCCAAGTTAAGTCAGATGGAAATAAGATTTCAACAAGTATGGTCAATCTTCATACAAATTTGCTATAACAGGAAGAAATGGGAAAAGTAACTTTGTAAAATCTGCTGTTTTCTTGTTTTCATGGGTTGTACAAATGGAAGAGATAATAGTATGGTAGCAAGGACCCAGGAGATGGGAGCAGGAAATACAGTAAGGGATGGAAATGGGATCTGGTGCTCAAGCGAACGTTGGTCCTTGAAGATGCTGTGTAGGATTGTTGACTTGAAGATGCTGTGTAGGATTGTTGACAACAACAAGGCCAACCAGAGCTTGTGAACATCTTAGAAGAGTGTCCCTGGGGACAGTCACAGTTATCTTTGGGCTTCTTCTGGTGTTTTTTTTTTTTTTCTCAGTAAACATAGGAGGTAGGAGGACACACTGAGATCTTGCAGAGAGAAAAGAGGAGGTTGCAGACACTGGGAGTGAAAAATGGCAGGAAATGAATATTCTATGGATATCGCTACTGAACAGCATTAAGTTTTACTTGAGAACCAGGCCATCAATTCAAACTACAGGAGAGTTCTTCTCTCAAAACAGCTACCATTCTCTTGTTCCAACATCAGTGTAACTGTTCAATGAAAGAAAACTGTCAAGAATAAAAGCTTTAAAAAAAATGGAAACTCTACTCCATGCCATATGACAAATACCTTGGGAAATGGGTTTATTTGAAGAAGCAAGGTCAATGGACCTCATTTTACAGAGAGAAGATGTGGAAGATAAGCTAAAGAGGAAGGTTATACAGTTATAATATCTCAAAATCTTACCCAACTCAAGAGAATCCATGGGGGCTTAATTAATATGAATACATTCAAGGTAACTTTCATGTCATCTCTTGAATATCACAAATATCATATCATATATCATATCATATCATATCACAGATAGTAGTCTATGCTGCCATGAAGTTTGAAGGACTGTTAGTCCATCTCAGGGACAGATTTGAGAGGCTCCAAGCCAGACTCTTGAACCTTCCAGGCTACAGAAATAAGAAATGGTGATTTTCCTAACTGCAGATCTGAGAAATATCCTTTCCCTCAAGGGCAAAGTATTGTGCCATTCTCAAATTTTATTTATTTATTTTTAAAGATTTTTTTATTGTAAAGGCCGATATACAGAAAGGAGGAGAGACAGAGAGGAAGATCTTCTTTCTGATGCTTTATTCCCCAAGTGGCCATGATGGCCAGAGCTGAACCTATCCGAGACCAGGGGCCCGGAGCTTCTTCCAGGTCTCCCACATGCAGGGCTCCACGGCTTTGGGCTGCACTTGACTTTTTTAAGGGTAACTTAGCCTCTATTGCTATGTTAAAACTAACCCTCAGAACTTCAGCCTGCATAGTTATAACTGTTTATCTTTAATGAAAAGAGGTGAATGTACCATGGGCAGCTTCATTCAACAACCATGAGTCAAAATAATTACAAAATGTGAGCTGTACACTTTCACTGCTTAAAATTAGTCTGAAAGTAAAAACTAGTTTGCCATCTGTCTGTCATCACGTTTAATGAAGTCTGAGTTTAAAATAATAAAGAAAGGTAACTTCATTGTTTCACAAATAAGACTCCAAAAATAATGAAAGTATATAGGATAGTAATCTCTACATTAATAGAAGCAATCAAAGAAGAAAGATAAACATTCCACTAAGTTCAAGACAACGTGGCAGTAATGTGAAAAAATTAATACAAATGCATAAATCACATTCTAAAACTTAAGAAAGGAACTCATATTGTACTTAAAATGAGACCACATATTATGCATTGTGGGAGTTAAAGTATTCATCTTGAAACAAGAAAAGGAAAGGATGTGCCAAGAGCATACACCATTCCTCATTAGAACAGGGAATTGGTATTTGACACTTGGAAAGCTGAAGGCCTCAGTTTGCAGTTTGTGGCCAGGCTTACATTAGCATTCCCAAAGTGAAAGAAGTCACTGGGCTAACCATATGTTGCCATATCACCCCCATTATTCGGGCCAATGGTGTGGAACAAAACAAAAGAAGGTTGTCAACCTCGAGCAGAGGCTGTCCTTTAAAATAATGCTACTGAGAGCAGTAACATTTTTCAAAGACTTAATAAGCAATAACGCCTATAAGCTCTTGTCAAGCAATCTTTCTTTCACACCATCAGTCTGATGTCTCACACTATCACTCTGACGGCAGAGAGGGAAAAATAATCCTACTGCCTTCTCCTGCTTGCCACAAGGCAGCGAGAGCCCGACTCAGATTTGCCTTTCCCCAAGGACAGAGGTGCACACACACGGGAGCAACAGCAGAAGGAACAGTGTGAAAAGAAATGCAGAACCACTTCTATCATTTTGAAATTTACACTGTGTGGCAGCCAAGTGTCTCACAGGAAAACAATTACTTTCATTTTTGCCTCCAACTGTCACTCCGACCTTTCCTGGTAGGCAAGTCCGTAGGAGGCAAAAAGAAAGTCCTTTTTTCCTCCATTGAAACAGAGCAGTAAAAAACTGTGAATTCCATAATCATAACATGAGCTACCTAATTCTGACAGGGGTTCTTCTATCATCTTTATCAGAAACAATATAAAACAATGCCTGTGGATATATGTAAAATTGGCACTAAGGTATGTCTACACATAAGAAATTGATTATTATGATCCTGATAATAAAACTTATAGCACAAAAGAGAGATGGCATATGTAAAAGAAAAACAATCTTTAAATAGAAACAGTGGCTTTACTTTAAAGGATCTCTACTCAATATAAGAATTCAATAAGTATAACACAGAACAACGATGTATATGGCTATTAAAGAATGACCAAGCATGTTGTTTTAAGGAGGTCTTCGTTAAATTAAATTACATTTTCTTATTGAGCCCCTATTCCAGGTGAGAAACTGAAAACAAAACCCACTCCTACACCTCAAAATGTCAACCTACTGGGAGAGAGAAAGGAAAATTCCCAGACGAAAACACACAAGGTGTCAGAACAGCAGAAGAGAGGCAGGCAATACACCAGACTTTCCCAGGAAAAAGAACACGTTCCAAAGGCCACACACTGCTCCACGGCAACACTGTGCTTAAAGAAACAACAAAAAATGTTATAGAGAACACAAAAGCCACCCTCCATCTGCTGGTTCACCCCACAAACATCCAGGGCTGGACCAAGATGAGGCCAGGAGTTAGGAACTCCACCAGGTCTCACAGATCTAGGAGAGACCCATTTACTGCAGCTCTCACGGCTGTCTCCTCGGAGTGCTATCAGCAAGAAACTGAAATCTGAAGTGAAGTCGGGACTAGGACCCTGTATTCCAAAGAAGTATGGCTGTTCCAGGTGGCCCCATCCTAACCGCCCCAGGCCTCTCCCTCAAGACAGCTTCTATGAAGTCCTTGAAGTCGGAAAAGATGAAGGGAATAAAAGAAAAGTTTTTAAATTGTCTTGAAAGTATTTTCTGAACTGTGCTTCTAGGGCAAGACAACATTACATGGAAATGAAAGGCCACATACAAGTTTGGAAAGGATTAGCCACACAATCCTTCTTTCAAATTCACAGTGTACATCAGTACATGCCACACACATACACAGAGCACCATGCCAGGGTGCCAAGTGCTTACCCGGGGCTCCCAGGCCTATCTGACTATGGAATTCAGTTGAAAAACAGTTATCAACTCTCAAACACTTGGCAGGCAAAAATGGCACAAGGCTAGCAGAACATATTAGGGAATCCACTACAGAAGGACCAAATCCCATGCTGAGAAAGTTTTGGAGTGACACCAACAGAAAGAGGCACTATCCTAGCATTATTTAACCTGCCATTATATATCAAGCCTTATGTCTATCACTCCTCATCCATGCAGAATGCTAAATAATAGATTTCAACAGTGTGTAGTTTGTACTGAGGCTTGTGTTTGACTTCATTTTTTATCAGAAGAAACAAGCAGCTATACAACAGGAGCGATGTACTGCTAGACAGGAAAGAAAGAGCGACGGAAGGTTGTAGCATGCAAGACAAGGTCGCCAGTCAGAACACAGAGAGGTACAAAAAATACAGGCTCTGCCCAAACAGCCTCACATGTTCCCTCCCCTCTCTCCCTAAGCCTACTACTAACTCCTAAAGCCTATCGGTCATTCCAAGTTAATAGCCAATGCTGCCCTTTCATTTGCATGTTTGCACATGAAAACTAACACAAAACAGAATTTTAAACCAACTCTAAAGTTGGAGATTTAAAATTAGAATTTTGGGCTACTTTATCTCCTCAGGAAATTGTGAGCATACTGTCGCCCTGCACATATCTAACAGAGATGCATACACCACTATCCCATTATCAGAACAAATTACCTGAGGTTGAAACTGAGGAACAGGTGGCCCTTGCATTCCTTGTGACTGTGCATCCATTGTATGAAGTAACAGCAACTTAGAACTCTGCAAAAGGAAAGTTGAAAGGTAAATATTGTAACCATTACTAATGTATGCCATCATTTTATGCCTGATACCAGCTTTTAAACAGTACAACGTAAGAGGGGAACCCTGCTATGGGTCATTTGGATATTTATAACAACATTCACAGGACACACAAAATTACCAATTTAAAAATGAGCCTGCAAGATCCAAGACCAAGAGCAGGGTACAGGTCAGGTCAGGTTGCAACACCAGTCAATTCACAGAAGTCAGGACTTGGAATAGCTGGACTAGGCAAGGCTGCAACACCCATTAGCACGAGCTGGGACTTGGGGCAGGCCGGGCTAAGCCAAGCTAGGCCAGGTTACAGCACCTGCCAATAGATGCTAAGGTGAGGCGGGCCATGACAGACTGAGCTAGAGTAACCATCAGCACACATGCACCTGGGAGTACCGGGATAGGGGTAGAGTGAACCTGCTAGGGAACTGTGGGGGGCTTCCCTGTTGGGCCACTGCACTCACTGGTGAATGTGAAAACTGGGATGGGAGCAGACAAGGACAGGCAGGGATACAACACCTGTTATGCTGGGTTGGGGGGAGAATCAGACTGGGCTAAGCTATAGTACACACCGATGCATGCATAAGCAAGAGGAGGCACAGGCTGGTTGGGCTTTGCTGCAGCATCAGCAGGCAAGAGATGTGCCTGGGGCAAATCCTGTCAAGCTAGACTGCAGGACCACCTGGAAAGCACAAGATCCAGGCCTGGGAGTGGGCAGAGAAACTGTGGGCACTTCTCTGATGGGTTGCAACTCCCACTGGTGAGCATAAGAACCAGGCTGGGGATGGGCCTGGCTAGACAGGTGGTGGCACCTGCTGGCATGGGTGTAGGCTGGATAGATGTGTATGTTGGGTCGAGCTAGGCTTCATACCCATTGACATGCATGTGAGCTGAATAAGATGTGGGGCAGACTAGACCAGTGGGCTGCACAAATTCCAAGCACAGGAACCAGGGCTGGGGGAAGACCCAGTGAAGGTTATTGGGGGTCACTCCAACTAGGCTGCAGCTCCTGTTGTTGCACATGAGGGCTGAATGTGTAGGTTGGCAGGGTTGGGCTGGGCCACAGCATCCAATGGTTTATGTAAGAGACAAGGCAGGAGACAAAACTGACCCAGCAATTGCTAATACCAGTATGTGCATAGGCTGATGTGGGTGACAGACAGAGCCAGACCCCATACTGATAAACACACAGTTTTGGGATCACTTCAGACTAGGTCACTTTGGGGAATCTCCCCAATTGAACCGCTGGACTCAGAACACCAACCATGGGAGACTCATAGGATGTATGGTGTGACCGTGGAATGCATGTGTCAGAGCTAGAATTTCGTGGCTCAATCAGAGCAGAGAACAGCATACCCAGATGCATATGGAGGATATGGCAGTTCACTGGAGCCTGCACAGGACATCTGGTACCATAACAGAGGAAACGTCGGGGGCAGAACAAGTTGGTAAACTACCCTATCCAAGTGTTGGCAACAAATATCTGGGTGAATGGAGAATCTAAGATGGACTATGTCAACCAATAGACCTTGGAAAGATCTCCTCATCCTTGGATCAGTGAGATTGATAGCATTTCAGAACCACTGAGCTATTGAAACCACTTGAGCAGAACCCTCAGAGCATGCTCTACCCTGGGGACCCTGGAATGACATCAGGAGGCCATTCTCCAACCACACACACTGAGGCAGTTGGTGGCTGGGTGCAGCTTCTCTCCTTGTCTTGTCTCTTCCCCAGACACAGGATGAAAAAGAGAAAAATGTGGAAACAACTGTCATACACTTTCCCCTAAACCTCAGTGCTTCCCACCCTAATCAACAAGGTAAACATCATCAAAACTAAAATCAAAAATGAATATATAAATTGAAAAATTAGCCTGCTAGACATGATTGGATTTTGCGTCTTCCTGTGGATGCCCTGGAGGGACAGTGCCCCCTCCTGCACTACAGATATGTTCTGATGTTCCAACAATGAAGACACTCTCATTCTCGCCACTGGTTATATCCATACCCAGTATAGCTCATTCACCATACAACCATTTCCACCTCTCCAGAGTAGCATTGTGAGCTTTTAAAAAAAATTCCTAAGATGAAATTTCTTCTCTCCATTCTGTCTATTGATCAGAAACAGTTCTCTTTATCCTGCTCATTAAGAAACAAGATACATGGTAAACCCCTATCATCAAGCCCTGTGTTTTTACATGCACCTCATTTCTACCTTCTAAAGATGTTGTTTCTCATTCTGCTATCCAACTATAAAGTTTACTGCAGTTACTTAGACTTAAATGTAAAAGGACAGTCCTTCTACAAGAGTGTTTACCTTTTATGCATACTTTGTTTATAGTTACAAAGCATTCATTCATGAATTCAGTAAACATCATCCCTGGCACGACGCAAGACTCCAGTATTGCAATATCAAAAAGGCACAGCCTCTGGCCTACAGGAGCCATTTTTTTTAAGATTTATTTTTATTATTTGTTTATTGGAAAGGCGGATATACCGAGAGGAGAGACAGAGAGGAAGATCTTCCGTCCAATGACTCACTCCCTAAGTGAGCGCAATGGCCGATGCTAAGCCAGTCCAAAGCCAGGAGACTCTTCTGGGTCTCCCACGTGGGTGCAGGGTCCCAAAGCTTTGGGCTGTCCTCAACTGCCTTCCCGGGCCACAGGCAGGGAGCTGGAAGGGAAGCGGGGCTGCTGGGATAGAACCGGCACCCATATGGGATCCCGGGCGTGCAAGGTCAGGACCTTAACCACTTGTGCCACCGCGCCGGGCCCTACAGGAGCCATTTTTGCCCTATTCCCTGCCAAGTTCTTCAAAGTCCATTATCAGTGCTATTCTACAACTACAACCACAAACCTAGGGTCCCATTAATCAAAATCATCTTCACTTACACATTCCATCAAGGTATGAAATATTCCCCTATACGGTAGGCCCTGGGTCCATGAACAGGAGATCAGGCGGGTCCAGGTAGCCCAGCCCAGGTCCTTGGCCTGCCTGTGCAGTGGGTGTCACTTCCATGAGCCCTGGGGGCAAGGGATCAGGTGGGTCCATGTCACCTGGCCTAGGTCTTTGGCCTGCCTGTGTGGTGGGTATCAGTTTCATTAGCCCTGGGGATGGGGAGTTTAGCAGGGTCCAGATCTCCTGGCCTGTGCCTTGTCCTACCTGCACAGTGGGTCCTAGGTCTGTGAGCCCTGGGAGTTGGGGTGAGGCAGAGGGTGGTGGGATTCATGTCGCCTGGCCCGGGTGCTGGTTCCGTGCACAGTGGGTGCTGGTTCCACGAGCCCTGGGGGTGGGGGTCCTAATGGGGCCTGAGTTGCCTGCCTAAGTCCTTAGGCCTGCCTATGCCATGGGTGTTGGGCTGGTAAGCCCCATGGGTGTGGGGGACTGGTGGGGTCCGGGTCAACTGGCTGGGCTCCCTGGCTCACCAGAGTAGTAGACATCAGCCCAGATCCACACGGATGATACGGCAGCCGACTGAGTCCTGCAGGGGACATCTGTACCATTCCAGTGTAAGGAGGACAGAACAAACTGGACAACTACCACAGCCAAATAATACCAGCAAATATCTGGGTGAATGGAGGTGGACTATGTCACCCAACGAACACTGAAACGGTTCCCTCATACTTGGATTGGCAAGATCAACAACATTTAAGAACTATCAAAACCACCTGGGCAGAACTCTCAGAATGTGAGCCACATTGGGACTCTGGGTTGATACCGGGTGGCGGCTCCCCATCCCTGGGTACTGGGGTGGTTGGGAGGCTGGATAACGCTTCTCCCCTTATGCCCCCACACCCCGAAATAGAAAGGAGAAATAGATAATTTGGAAACAAAGATCACACCCACTTTTCCCTAATCCTTGACCCCCCACTCTGACCAACAATATTATCATCTAAAATAAAATTTTAAACATTATATATTCTCAACATGAGTCATCTATGTAACAAGTATTGTCTTATATGCTACAACTCTGTCTTCTTAAAACCTTCTTAATTGTGTCTGTCCTTTAATTTACTAGTAACCAGAAATTCAGCTATCCTAAATTATTAATATTTCCTTATATTGGCAATTAAAGTTGTACACAATTTTCAGAATAAGCAATTTTTAATTATATACTAAAGTGCTTATAAGTAACAATAAGCCCATTACATGTTTATATTTAAATTATTTTTATAAAATACCTGCATGTTCAAAAATGTTGGAAAAGAAGCACTGTTTTACATCTTGAAATTTCTTTATGTCTATCCTTGCAGAGTCAGCATTTGCATCTAATCTGTTGATATGGACTTTAAGTATATAAAAATACCCGGGCTTACCCAATTGAAAAGTTGGGAGAAAGAAGAGTACTTTAATGGCCACTCAAATATCTGTAAATATCTCAGATATTGTAACAACCTTATCACTGTGGACTCTCGAATCATACTAGTGCACGTTTGGACTCTGTGGAAATCCAATGGGCTACCTTGCCTTTGGAAGAGATCTTTTACTCAGCCATGATTCTATAACATGCATCAGTCATCTGGGAATTTTTAGCTTACTGCATTTCTTAGGCCTTATAAATGTTTTTCATTTAATCGTATAAGTTAAAAATGCACATGGCACAAACATGACCACAAATCTTATCAGAAAAGTCTGTAAAATGGCAGGACATCAGGGTCATTTTGAATACAAACTTCCAAAAACTCTAATTCCACTTTATAAGTCCAAATGAGGAACAAATGTCAGCTGTTTCCCTTGAAATGACATAGCTTTCAAGAAAGTGTCTATAGAATATGTGTCTGAATAATCTATTAGTTGTTCCTCCAAGTACAATCAATGCCCCATGGTGGCAGGAAGTGCCATGTTCGACATCGAACTGCACAGATGCTTTGCCTGGATACAATCCTGCTGCCATAGTGTTTTAAGGATACCTCCCATTAACCACATAATACACAATGACATACAGGCTGAGGTTCACTGAAATAAAAC